AAAAAAAAAAAAAAAAAGATCAGTCTTACAGGTTCATTGATAAGAATTCAAGAAATCCAGAAACATGAAGAAAATCCCACCTAAGCACTAGGGGTGAGGTTACAGGGTGAGGAAGGGGCCTGATAAGCCACATACTGTGTAGCTGACAGTGCCTGCTTTCCCACTGAGGTGGGGAGCAGAGTGGATGCCCCACTGCCCATTGATGCCCAGGGTGACTTGCCCACTGGGAACTAAACCCAGCCTGGCACCACCATCCAACAGGGATGGTAGACTGCTGGCCCAGGCTATGCCCTGATGGGTGGGTGTGTTGCAGGGCAGGCCCACACACCCCGTCCTCTGCCTAGAGTTGGTCTTTATCCTCTTCCTGTGGTTCTCACAGGCACCCTAGTAGCAGCGTCACAGTTTCTCTTGGGGCCTGAAGTCCAGAGAGGACCACCAGATGTGAGGGCCCATGTGGGCCCTTGGCTGCTTCCCTCCAGGGAGAGAGAGACCAGGGTGTCTCCAGGCAGTGGGCTTTGGGACCTCAGTCAGCAATTCCTGCCTCCTATCCCTGACTGCACTCAGGAAGGCCACCTCCCACCCCACGGGGCCCAGACTCCTCAAGAGGCAAACTCCTGCACCTGCCAGGGAGGGACTCAGGGTAACCTCAGCCCAGGGGTGCAGTAGGGGTGTGGTTAACTTGGGGCCACTCCTTGATTTGGGTCAATATTGACACAGAGCAGAGTGGGCTGAGCTTTGGAGATAAGCTTGGCAGGAACAAAGTGATGCCTAAAGTCCTAGGAACCTGCCAGGCCAGGTAGGAACCTGGTCATGGATTGCAGGGGGCCAAGAAGAGGTCAGTGGAGTGAAGGGTCACTGACGTCCAGTAAGACCCCTTGAAGAGGGGTAGGGTTGGGCAGCTGAGCAGAGGAAGGCATGGCAGAACCCCCTTCTTGCTCTGGGGAGAGGGGAAGGCTGAATATCCTACAGTCTCATTCTTACAGCACCCCCTGGATATGAACCTGCCCTAAGCCTCAGTTTTCTCTCTCTGTGCCATGGGTGTGATAGCCCTGAGCAGGAGATTGTCCAGGCAGATAAAAGGTGGTGCTGCTTATCTTGACCTCAGGCCTGCCTGCCCCCTCTCCTGGCCCTGGGATCCTAGGCTTACAAGGTGGATGATTCTGAGGAAGGGCAGTTCTTTCCAGGCAACAATTTGGTAGTAGAGACCTGGAGAGGTTCTCTGAGCTGCTCACTGAGCTGCTGAGACTGGATTGTGCCCTCCAGCTTCGCAGAGATGTCAGCTCAGAAAGAGCCTGAGACACATTTCCAAAGGCCCTTAGCCAGTGAATGCTGGAGCCAGGGACGGAGCCAGGGCTGGAACTCTGGAGGAGATTCAATCACTACTCTCACTCCACTCCAGGGCCTGGCTTCAGGACAGAGCCCTGCAAAGGGTCCAGATGCACACACACATATACCTCCCAAATGGGTCAGGCATCCACCACAGGAACATGTCAAAAAATACTAAGCAACTGCTGTGCACCAGGCACCAGTCTAGGTGCAAATGTGGTGGTGATCAAGGCCCCACTCTCAAGAGGCTCACATCCCAGCAGAGGACATAGACCTTCAGCAGGGGACATAGACACTAAATAGGACCCCCATCAGTAAAGAGAGTGGGTTCTGAGAACAACAAGAAAATAAGGGAAGTGGCAATGGCTAGTGAGGGAGACTGTCCTAACTAAGGAAGTGAGGAAAGGCCCCTTAGGAGGTGCCATTTTGGTTGGGGCCTAAATGCAGAAAAGGAGCAGCTGGGGAAAGATCTCCTGGAGGAGCTTCTGGCAGAGGACGCCACAGTGCAAATGTCTAGAAGCAAATGAGCCACTAGCCTGTGTCTTTAAGGGACAAAAATAACCAGATGGCCAGCACACAGTAGGGCATGGGGAGAGTGGTGGTAGAAGCAGCCAAGGTCAGACTGGGGTCCTAGTCTAGCTTTAGTGGGAAGCTACTGGAAAGTCTAAAGCAGGGGAGTGGCATGAGCTGGTTTATAGTTAAATTCTGAGCTGAGGGGCCTCCCTCTATTTAGTCAAAATCATAGAAACTGGAAAGTAGAATGGTGGTTGCCAGGAGCTGGGGGAAGGGGGTATGAGAGTCTGTGTTTAATGGGTGTAGAGTTTCAGTTTTGTAGGATGAAAGCATTCCGGAGATGGATGGGGTGATGGTTGCACAACAATGTGAATGTCCTTAATGCCACAGAACTGTACACTTAAAAATAGTGCCAGTGGTAAATTTTAAGTGTATTTTACCACATTTAAAAAAAAATTGGGAAAAAAGGTCCCTCTGTCCACTGTGGGAGGATAGACAAAGGACCAGGCATACCGAGAGACACAGAGTAAGACTCGTACTGCCAACTGGTGAGAGGCCAGCTCTGCTCTCAGGGCAGGACAGGGCAGGGCAGAGCAGGACAGGCGCCCGAGAGGGCTGCCTAGGCTCCAGGTCTAGCCAGTGGCTGTCAGGGAAAGAGAGAAATGTGACAACTCCCAGATTTAAGGCTGGAGCAACCCACTGACCATGATGAATGTGTTCCGGAGGCAAGGCTAGAGAAGGTAGATCTGAGAGAGGGCTGAGGTGGTGGACTTTAAGTGTGAGGTTAGTGGTGCCAGGACAGGAGTAAGCAGATGGCTGGATGGAGACTGAGGCT